TAGAATTATATTTATAAAATAATGTGATTTTTTTTTAAATTTGTCAGTTTGAAAGGACCATGTCAACATTTAGATTCGCTAGGGACTACTAAAAAAATCAATCTAACCAAAAAGCCCCCCTATGTTAGGTTCTGTCATTGGATTTTAGTACAGTGAACATAAAAAAGGCAGATCAATTCTAAATGCACCTGAAAATTGGGGACTGTGTTGGGAAAGGAGATAATTTTTGCATCAGAAACCAAATTGTTCACTAATTGTTAGCAGTTTCACAAAATTAAAGTGACTGTAGATTATAAAGAACAAAAAAAATTGTCAATTGAAGTTCATTCGATGACATGCTTGTCTTTTGAATTAAAGGTTTTGGCACCACTCCCTATTGGATTCGTGGTGTTCATGGTTCACTTGGCCACGATCCCGATCACCGGCACTGGCATTAACCCAGCACGAAGCTTCGGCGCTGCTGTGATCTATGGCAAACAAAAAGCCTGGGATGATCAGGTATGTATATAACTCAGCTTTCATGTTTGTTCTAGTGATCAATCCCGACATCATTCATGTTAAATTTATTGTTGACAGTGGATCTTCTGGGTCGGACCGTTCATTGGTGCAGCCATTGTTGCCTTCTACCACCAGTACATCCTTAGAGCGGCGGCGGTTAAAGCTCTGGGATCTTTCAGGAGCACTGCCTAATGTGCATTTTGTTATGGGAATTCTTTGAGGAATTCAATGCAATCTTTGCAAGAGGGGAATTGGAATTTTGGGAAAGTTGTAAATAAGTGTTGGTGAGGAGGGTGTGATAATTGTGTTGGGATTGTGGTCTTGGGTTGGCACTTGTTTTTGTTGTGCCCAAATGTTGTTTGTCTACTCTATTGTCCTTTTCTTCTTCTTTGCAAGTTTTCCTTTGTTGTTGCATCATGGTATTCTAAGCAAGCATTAATATAATAAATCATCTAGTGCTTTTGTCATTTTACATCTATGCTATAATTCTTATTATTTTAAGAATTATTTTAGAGTCAACCAACCATTGAAGAAAAATTTCACTATCTCAACAAAGATAATGTATTACTTATATTCTTGAGGAGGTAATCAAGTTGATAATGGGTTTACTCTTCGTATGTCCAAGTTTAGTTCAACTCTAAGGCCTCGTTTGGCAAGAGGCTATTTTAACTAATTAGCCAAAAAGTTACTAAATTAGCCAAAAAGCCAACAACTCATACCAAAAAGTTAAAGATTCTCTTTTCTCTCTACTTTTTGCACATCTTTTCGTAATTAGTCAAAAAGTCATCCCAAACATACAAGTTTTTTTTACCTACCTTTTTAGCCAAATAGCCAAAAAGTTACTAAATTAGCCTGTTCTCAAACGAGGCCTAAATGATCTCTTTTGTTTGTCCGGATCATGCAATTAGGGAATGTCGCTTAATTCTCGAATTTATACTCATGGAGTGGGTTCAAGGACATGTTTCACTCAATTTTAAAAAATAAAAATAAAAATATATATTACTTATACATGCCCAATCTCTAAACATAAACAATTGATTGAAGATGAGGGGGAAAAAATCAAAATAGATCCCAAGCTCATTCACTTCTCACTAGAAAGAACTTGAAAATTTTTCTTTGAACCTAAAAGCTTCATAGTTAGTTAAGTTACAAACTTACAGTTCATCTTCCCCCACACTACTATATTGACGATGTCTCAACATCAGACTTCATCGAAGATATGCCTTCACCAACTTCAAGTGTTATTGCCATGAAGCCTATGAACACTATCCTCGATCAAAAATGCCTTCATGAAGATATGTCTTCGTTAAAAGTTGTCTTCATCATTCAAAAATCTTCCTCTGTTTTAGCAAGATTGTCATTCAATGTGAGGAGCACTAAAAGATAACCTTCAATATCTTTCACAATAAAAAAGAAAAAATTGTCTATAAATTGAGTAGGCATGCGTTTCTCATGTCCCTAATGTATAAGAAAAATTGGTTTTGAGGATTTTATGCATTAAAAAATATGAGTTACCCTTTTACTATAGAAAACTATGTTAAGCAATTTTCAACGTTTTTTTATTTTTATTTTTTATTTTTTATTTTTGAAGTTGAAAAGATAATTTTTAAAATAATTTCAAATGACATATTGAGTTGAGTATAAAGGATGAACCTTGAAGATGGCTTCCTTTCACTTGATGATTTTAAAATAATATTCTACATCATTTCTGAGTTAACAATTATTTAGTTATTTGACAAAAATTTAAAATAAAAAAAAAAGAAAAAATAATATTAAATCCCGTCATTTCAATCAATAAAAATTTATAATTTTTCTTAATTATTGAAATGGACAAAAAGGTAGTCATGGTGAATAGTGAGCCACGTGTAAATTAGACATGTATTGTAGTGGTTGGTGGTCTTTTGGATCTTTGCTGGGCTTTCAATCATTGACCATTGACCATATGTGAACTACTCTATGCTCATCAATTGTAGCCCAATCAATATATAGATCTGTTTGTTTTTAGCCCAATTGTGTAATTGCTAGGAAACTCTTGATAAATTATAAATATATTTTTTAAACGTGTTAAAAATATAGATTATTCTCTGTAATTTTAAAAATTATAAATACTTTTTTTATTTGAATTTTTTATTTAATAAAATTAATAAAAAATAAAATTTTTAACTACTCTTATGTACAATAATAAAAGAGCAATGCTACATCTACGGAATTTTAGTTTGCCTAAATCGTCTAAATTTGTGCATACGGGTCATCCAGCCAGTCATCTAACAACAAGGGTGATAGTCGTGATTGATAAGGGTTGCACTAGTCATCCAGGTGGTTGTTCGGGAGTCGACTGGTGCATTAAATACCAGAAGTTTTAATACATTGGTGAAAGCAGAACACATCAGGTTTGTGACTACGGCACGAAGCCAACTTCCCTAATGTGATCCTAAGTACAACTTATGTTCACATTAGGGGGCAGGGAGAAGGTGCAGGGGGAAGGAATGATAATTAAGGAGCAAGGAATGTTAACACTTGTTGAAATTTTTGAGCAAATTACAAAATGAGTTAACCGAAGATTATGAAGTCTACCGCTTGTTGAAATTTGTAGCAATTTACAAGTTTGGTATAGCCGAGATAACACTGAAAGACGTTTCCGAGATACGATCATCCGAGATGACCAACTAGCTTGTTAAGAGCTGAGAAGGTTGGCAAGTACAAAAATGAAGACCTTAAAGAACTAGGGACTGAAAGCAATAACGTCGGACTGATCTATTTCGACGGACGACGATGGTTTAGCCTCGGTAGTCAGTTGGAGGAGCTTCTCTACCGTTAACTCGGCATCAATTTCAAGAAAGAAGCAAACTACTCGGCATTAGCGGCAGGTTGTGTCTCACCCCCAGAAGACAGTTGGAAAGAACTTCTCAGCAGCCTTCTCAGCCACGAGCTCAGTATCAATCTCCTGAAGAGTTTGATCAAAACTTTTCTCGGCGATTGGCACCTCGGCGTTTTGAAAGCAAGGATTGAAAGCAAAACTCTGGGAAAAGACACAGAAAACAGAAACAAGAATGTAATTCGTAAATCAAAAATGGTGATGAAGCTATCAGGAAATCAAGACAAAAAGATTGTACAGGTGTGTCAAGTCAAGAACAGTGGCAGCAATCAATAGATGTGTGAACAGTGTGTATTTAAGAAGATGATTTGGAAATAACGGGTAAAAAAAGCAATGGTGATTAACAATGAAGCAGAGCTTCTTGGAAAGCAACAAGAAATAAAACCAGGAGGAACAGTGGCTTACCAGAAAAAGGGAACCTTGAATGAGAATTGCCGAAGTCTGACAACAGTGACAGAATGGCGTAAGCTTCACCGGAGGAGAGGAACGAAAACAGTTGCAGAAGCTTGAAAGCTTGGAACAAATGACGGATTCAAGCAAAAGAGCTAGAAAGCGAAGAAGCCAGAGGATTAAATGAAAAAAAGAGAAAAACAGAAGTCAAGAAGATGACAAAGTTCAAAGAATAAAGCCAAGTGCACAGGCACTAAGTAAGTATGTGAAGAACAAGAAAGTAATGAACCAGACATGATGCTCGCAACAGAAAGCGGATATGACAAAGAACAATTCCAGGCATTTTAGCAAATAAGAAATCAAAAACTTGAAGACAGACGAGAACAGAAGGCCACAGATGGCAAATAAACAGATTCAAAGTAAATCAGAAGAGTTATGAAAGATTGAGCTTAATAAAAAAGTAAGAGTTTATGAACCTACAAAGTGAAGTGAACGCCGATATGAAAATCGCCGGAGTCAAATAGGTGACTGGAAATCGGGAACTCACCAGAGAGTGTGAGTGGAGCAGTTGCAAAGCTCTTGGAGTTTTCGAATTAATGGAACCAGAACCTCGGCTAGGAGGTGCGATTTCAAGCAGCTTAGAAAGCATGAAACTTGATTCTTGACATCAGTGACAGCGAAGTCCAGGGAACTTTGAGGTCGGCGAATTTGATCTCAGACAGAGGGGCACAGATGAACGAACAGTGTAGGTTCCATCACCTCAGAATACCGAGGTAATAGAACCTAGGGGGGCAGTTGTGGGGGAGGTAATAGAACCTTAGGGGCAGTTGTGGGGATATATTTTCTGAGTACCAACATGTGGCAAGGTGACGCCGACGTGTCAGCCGAGGTGCCACGTGTCTTGGTCGTTGTGCTGTGGTAATCTCGGCTAGGCCGAGGTTGCCTCCGAAGATATCGGAATCCGAGATAAGCGGATAAGGGACAAGAGTCCTAAAATGGAGAGGGAACTCAACTTGGATATGGACAAGAGTCCTAGATTGGGAGAAGACTTCAGTTTGGGTAAAGATAAGACTCTTAGAGAGTTTATCCTAATCCCACTAGGAGTCCCAGATTAGCAGTAATCCTAAGTCCATTAGGGCCAGGCTCCTATTGGGACTAGAATTGTATTGGCTATAAAAGAAAGGCACCCCCATGGGTCTAAAGTATGCTTTTGATACTCAAGCTTGTGAGTTTAGTACTTGATTTATCTTTGAGAGATATACTGACTTGATCGTCAGAGTGCCCCCGGGTGGTCGAAACCACCGCGGGATTCTTATATTTCTATTGCAGGTCAGTCAAGTGTCATCTATTCTGCCAGTGCTCTTCAGTTGGTTACTAAGCGGGTAGTGTGGTTGGAAAATCACCCACACACAAAGGATCATGTCAACATTTAGATTCGCTAGGGACTACTAAAAAAATCAATCTAACCAAAAAGCCCCTCTATGATAGGTTCTGTCATTGGATTTTAGTACAGTGAACATAAAAAAGGCAGATCAATTCTAAATGCACCAGAAAATTGGGGACTGTGTTGGGAAAGGAGATAATTTTTGCATCAGAAACCAAATTGTTCACTAATTGTTAGCAGTTTCACAAAATTAAAGTGACTGTAGATTATAAAGAACAAAAAAATTTGTCAATTGAAGTTCATTCGATGACATGCTTGTCTTTTGAATTAAAGGTTTTGGCACCACTTCCTATTGGATTCGCAGTGTTCATGGTTCACTTGGCCACCATCCCGATCACCGGCATTGGCATTAACCCAGCACGAAGCTTCGGCGCTGCTGTGATCTACGGCAAACAAAAAGCCTGGGATGATCAGGTATGTACATAACTCAGCTTTCATGTTTGTTCTAGTGATCAATCCCGACATCATTCATGTTAAATTTATTGTTGACAGTGGATCTTCTGGGTCGGACCGTTCATTGCTGCAGCCATTGCTGCCTTCTACCACCAGTACATCCTTAGAGCGGCGGCGGTTAAAGCTCTGGGATCTTTCAGGAGCACTGCCTAATGTGCATTTTGTTATGGGAATTCTTTGAGGAATTCAATGTAATCTTTGCAAGAGGGGAATTGGAATTTTGGGAAAGTTGTAAATAAGTGTTGGTGAGGAGGGTGTGATAATTGTGTTGGGATTGTGGTCTTGGGTTGGCACTTGTTTTTGTTGTGCCCAAATGTTGTTTGTCTACTCTATTGTCCTTTTCTTCTTCTTTGCAAGTTTTTCTTTGTTGTTGCATCATGGTATTCTAAGCAAGCATTAATATAATAAATCATCTAGTGCTTTTGTCATTTTGTATCTATGCTATAATTCTTATTATTTTAAGAATTATTTTGGAGTCAACCAACCATTGAAGAAAAATTTCACTATCTCAACAAAGATAATGTATTACTTATATTCCTGAGGAGGTAATCAAGTTGGTAGCGGGTTTACTCTTCACATGTTCAAGTTCGGTTCAACTCTAAATGATCTCTTTTGTTTGTCCGGATCATGCAATTAGGGAATGTCGCTTAATTCTCGAATTTATACTCATGGAGTAAGTTCAAGGACATGTTTTACTCAATTTTAAAAAATAAAAATATATATTACTTATATATACCCAATCTCTAAACATAAACAATTGATTGAAGATGAGGGGAAAAAAATCAAAATAGATCCCAAGCTCATTCACTTCTCACTAGAAAGAACTTGAAAAAGCTTTTCTTAGAACCTAAAAGCTTCTTAGTTAGTTAAGTTACAAACTCACAATTCATCTTCCCCCACTCAACTATATTGACGATGTCTCAACATCAGACTTCATCGAAGATATGCCTTCACCAACTTCAAGTGTTATTGCCATGAAGCCTATGAACACTATCGTCGATTAGAAATGCCTTCATGAAGATATGTCTTTGTTAAAAGTTGTCTTCATCGTTCAAAAATCTTCCTCTGTTTTAGCAAGATTGTCATTCAATATGAGGAGCACTAAAAGATAACCTTCAATATATTTCACAATAAAAAAGAAAAAATTGTCTATAAATTGAGTAGGCATGCATTTCTCATGTCCTTAATGTATAAGAAAATTTGGTTTTGAGGATTTTATGCATTAAAAAATATGAGTTACCCTTTTACTATAGAAAACTATGTTAAGCAATTTTCAACGTTTTTTTATTTTTATTTTTTATTTTTGAAGTTGAAAAGATAATTTTTAAAATAATTTCAAATGACATATTGATTTGAGTATAAAGGATGAACCTTGAAGATGGCTTCCTTTCACTTGATGATTTTAAAATAATATTCTACATCATTTCTGAGTTAACAATTATTTAGTTATTTGACAAAAATTTAAAATAAAAAAAAAAGAAAAAATAATATTAAATCCCGTCATTTCAATCAATAAAAATTTATAATTTTTCTTAATTATTGAAATGGACAAAAAGGTAGTTATGGTGAATAGTGAGCCACGTGTAAATTAGACATGTATTGTAGTGGTTGGTGGTCTTTTGGATCTTTGCTGGGCTTTCAATCATTGACCATTGACCATATGTGAACTACTCTATGCTCATCAATTGTAGCCCAATCAATATATAGATCTGTTTGTTTTTAGCCCAATTGTGTAATTGCTAGGAAACTCTTGATAAATTATAAATATATTTTTTAAACGTGTTAAAAATATAGATTATTCTCTGTAATTTTAAAAATTATAAATACTTTTTTTATTTAAATTTTTTATTTAATAAAATTAATAAAAAATAAATTTTTTAACAACTCTTATGTACAATAATAAAAGAGCAATGCTACATCTACGGAATTTTAGTTTGCCTAAATCGTCTAAATTTGTGCATACGGGTCATCCAGCCAGTCATCTAACAACAAGGGTGATAGTCGTGATTGATAAGGGTTGCACTAGTCATCCAGGTGGTTGTTCGGGAGTCGACTGACATGCACAAATTCAGCGATTCAGACAAATTCAAATTTAATGAATAAATCATTTTCGATAATAAAATTATCTAAATTGGTAATTGAAATATTTATTTAACTTAATAATTTATTAATAAAATAAGTCATTTATTATGTAATTAAAATTTTAAAAAATATATAATATAATTTTTAAAATTACATAAGATAATCTATATTTGAAGTAAATTTCAAAAAATATACTTTTATATGCTTTAAATGTGATTGTGTTGGACCCTTTTGGTTGAGCACCTCTCGATATTTATTATAAAAAAAATAAAAAAACAAATAAAAAAAAGAAAAAGAAAAGAGAAGTACATATTTACCCTTTTTGTTTCCGCCGACACTCTTATTATTTGTTTTGAAAAAAATATTTTTTACCAAACATATACTAAAGAGATAGTATGTGAAAAAAACATAATGATGGAGGATTCAATTTCTTCTAAACCGGATCAAGGATTTAGAAAAGGTTTTATGAAGGGAAAGATAAAAAAATGAGAAAAGTTCATAAATTAAAAGTCAATTTTATTTTAATTTTTTTTACTTTTTCCTTCTCTTTTTTTATTTTTTATTTTTTTAAAAAAAATTCCTACAAACAGCCTCAATTCACCTATAACACAAATTCCACACATACAAACAAGGAAGAGAGAATTATCCAAAGAAGTGGACACAAAAAAGACTGTATTGTATTGATAAATTTTACAACACAGCAAGGCCTGTATTGCTCCAGAACCCAAAAACAAAAAACATGATAAAAGCCTAACTTGGAATACCAAATGGTCTCTCTCTGCTTTTAGTCTTAATAATGGAATTACACCATGAACAGACCAGCAGAAGCCCTACAAATTAGCTCAATTAACTCTACAAATTCTCGGCAGAGTCCTCGGAGTCGTCGTGGTCCTCTTCGGGAATAGTCTCCAACTTGGGAGAATTGGAAATCTTAATGGGAGAAATGACGAGTGAAGGCGCAGCCTCAATCCAGGATGAGTATTTCAAATCTTTGATCGAGTTCGCCATTGAATTGATAATAGAATGACTTTCTGGTGTGGGTTGAGGAGGAAAGAGAATCATGTATGGATCTGAAGAAATTAGATAACAAAATTGAGTATTCTGTGGAGTTGAATTTGATTGAGGAGTAGAGTGAGGAGATGAGGAAGAGAGACTCCTATTTGTTTGCAGTATTGTTGTGGTTGTTGTGAGTGACAAACAGACTTAGCTAGTTGGGTCTTTATAATGGGGCTTGCTTGGTTTGATTGAGGGCTACGAAGCATGTGACCGGTGGCATCGCGGAAACTCACTCGGCAATAATTTAAAAATAATAATAATAGATAGAGTAAATCAGATTTTGTATCTCTACTCTCTGTATTAAATTTCACTTTGATTATTACATATGAAATTATAATGGTCAATCTTTTATATTTTTTGTTAAATTTTATTTTGATCTCTACACATGAAATCGTGATAGTTAATCATCTGTACTTTTACTCAAATCCCACTTTGATCCTTATACAAGTGTCAATATTTTTCTTTTGTTATTTCATTTTTAAATCTTTAATAAAATCCAGTCATGTGACAAAAATGTGATAATCAACCCTTTGTACTTTTACTCAAATCCCACTTTGATCCTTACACAAGTGTCAATATCTCTCTTTTATTATTTCATTTTTAAATTTTTAATAAAATCCAATCATGTGACAAAAATGTGACTACGAAATGAACCGACGTCTTGCCAAATTTGCCTTAGTTGCCAAAATATTTTTACAGGATCGCCACCAAAAGTGTCGGATTTTTGGGGGAATTTGCAGGTTCCAAATTTGTTTCCAAAAACCTCGAGGGAGAAGGAAGGAGGATGAAGGTTGCCTTGAGAGATGATTATCCGAAAACTTGCGAGCCAAGTGATACCCAGACTTAACAGAGTAAGTTCCCGACTTGGTGTGATGCCAAATGAGAGTATCTTCCTTATCGATAAGAGGCACTGGAATGGACCGAATGGCTTGCAATTCCTCACAGGAAACAAGTGTGCGTAGGACCGCAACTTTCCATAATTTAGATGCAGGGTCTATGGCATCCGAAACCGTCACAATACCACTTCCTGGGGGTTGAAAGGATGTAGGACCGCAACTTATTATTTTTAAATTATTGCCGAGTGATATATATATAAATATTCGTATAGTAAAAATTGAGACAAAATGGCAAGAAAGTAGAACTTTTGAAATTAAAAAAATGCGACAAAAAAATCAAAAAGAAAGAAAGATGAATAGACAAAGTTTCATGATTTCAATTTATGCAAAACCTTAATTCATCTTCTTATTTGTTCGCAATTTACATTTTATTTTAGTCTAATGCAATCATATTTTAATATAAATTTTGGGATACAGTGTATATTAATAAAAAAATATTGATAATTTTCCTTTCTTATCTTCATGTCGCAATCACATTCTTATTATATAACTAAATTCTATTAAAGATGTAAATAATAGAGTAACAGAAAATTGGACATTAATACTTGTGTAGAAACCAAAACAAGATTTTATTAAAAGTACACGGAATTGACTATCACAATTTCATGTGTAAAGATTAAAGTGAGATTTGATTAAAAATTTAAGAAATTAACTGTCATAATTTTATATATAGAAATTAAAATAAAATTTAATAGTAAGTGTAAGGATGCAAAATATAATTTATTCGAATAAATAAATAAATAAAAGTAGAAGATGGGGAATGTGGAAGGTGTGCTCATCATGGGCGAAGATGGGCACGCAGATGTTGATATTTGACGAACCACTGTTTCTACCATACACGTGTCCATATGGGACTCAGTCTTATATATTTAAATCAGTGATATTTTTGGGAACATTGTAAATTAGTGATATTTTTATATATTTAATTATTAAAATTGATAAAATTTTATCACTGTTTTGTAATTTTTTTTTTTATAAACATGGATTAAAGTGCAATTTTTCCCATGATTTTCTAACTTTTTTACTTTTATTAATAATGTTATATATAAATTAAAACATATTAAATATGAGTAAATATGATAGATCTTATTTACATGTTTGCTCATTTTTGTTAGATAGTTAAGAAATAAAATTAGGCAGTGAAAGAAAAATTATCCTCTCTATAAAATCTTTCTTGATGGAAGTTTGATATACAAAAAATACTTGTACTACACATACGCATGAGAGACTTACATTCCATGAAAATATAATGTTGTCACACTCCCATTTATTTAAAATTTATATAAATTAAACAAAGAGTACAAAGGATGGATCTAGGGGGGCGGAGGGGGCGGCCGCACCCCCAAAAATTTGAAAAATATCATATATTATACTAGAAAT